ATTTGCATACAGAACAACCACAATGTTCACATAATTCCTTTTTATTTCCATAGCACTCTTCACATTCTGACCATCCTGGTGAATCGTCATCACTTACATCCAAGTCTTCTTCCTACCAAATTTTTGATGTCAATAATGTATATTAATAATTTTATTTTTTTAAATTTATTAATCGATTAGTTGAAAATTCTTACATTATTATTATCTTGAATAGATCCATTGTCATCGGCTTGTGTACTATTGTTTGCTAGGGTCGTTTGTTCAAGCATTCTGGAGGTAATATTGATTGATTGCTGGTCATTGGGCATAGATTCATCCGTTTCTCTGATATTTTCAGTTTGCTAAAATTTGTGATTTATCAATAACAAATTAGATTTTCAGGTTAACTTAATAATATAAAACTTTATATTTTCTTTCTTACTCGATTGTCATTAACGTGTTTATTATTAGGCTGATTCATATTGTCAATTGAAAATTGATCACTGGTGCTAACGGTTTATGAATCAGGCAATAGTTTATTGGTTTCCTCGTTATTTTCAGAGTCATTATCGTCATTCTCTCTTTGCCGTGGTTTCAATGATTTGTTAATTATTAATCACACTTATAATTATTATTATTGAAAATACTAACATGTGGATATTTCGATGCATCCTTTTTTAATCATCAATTTCGTAAAAAAAATAAAATAAATAAATAAAAATTTGATAATAAATATCTATTAAAACACTATTTTCAATAGCAACTTTTGAAATCTCTTACTTTATTTTTCTCATTTCTTTTCGAGATTTTAAAATAATCATTCATATGACTACCTTTAGTCCATTGGTCATCTTCCAAATTCAATGTATCGTTTTCATTTGTTTGAGTATCAAACGTTAACTCATCAACTTCCAATAGTCTATTACTGTCTGGATTCTAAAATTAAAAGTATCTTAATGTTACTGTGTCAATTGATTAATAAATGTGGCAGAGCAGATTAAACCGAAATCTGATTAAAATGAAATATTGCATAGTGATAATGTAAATTAGGCAATTGGGTTTTAGGAAATTAATTTGAAACCTCAAATTTCAGTTTAATTCATTATCATTATGACCTGTGATAAAATATTTTAATATCGATTATATCTTCAATGGTATTAGCTAGATCATTGATTATTTTCTGATAAATCTCTTCAGAAATTAGAACCACTCCAGTTGCGTCCAAATTTTCAATATCCTTAGTGCCATCAGTTAAGAAAATGGTTGCTGAGCGCGATGCGTCATTGAAAACAATTTTCCTAACTCCTCCATTAGTAGCTTCCCATATAAGGTTAATCGAACATCTAATAATTTCCTTTTTATTTTTTATAGTTTCGGCCATTATTCTTTTAACTGTGTGATAGTAAAAGAGAAAAGATGAAAAACAATGTGGTATCAATGATGAATTTATATTTTTACAATTTGACTATGATTATATCTTGTGATAAATGGTTGAGTTTCTTTGATTAAAAATTTAATAATAGTGATATCAACTGATATCGATTTACTTTATGATTTGATAGTTTCTGAAGTTATGTTGAGTCATAGATTAATTCAAATCAACGTAAAAAAAGATCTATTATGTAATCATGACAATTTTTAAAATGTGTTGATTAAAAATTTTTCTTGAATAACAAGCTTTTATTGTTATATTAAATTGTGGTGTTAAGATGTTTTATTTGTGGCCCGAATTAAGATTGATTCGGGCCGTAACTCAAAAAAAGTCCATTCACATAATTGATATTTTGCAATCGCTCTTGTTATAATGAACAGATATAGTGAATTTACGAAAATTTACCAATTGGCTTGAAATATGAAAATTAATAAAATAATTCAAATTTCAAATAAAATTTGCATAGAATTAACTGTAAAACTATTAATTTAATTTATGCATTGTTTTTTATATATATGGTATATATTTTTATTTTATGAGATTATATAAATTAATTAATTTTTTTCTAATTCTTGGATTTAAATTATATTAACTCTTAAGACCTGAATAAACTAACTTGATTACTATCAAAATAGGAAGTAAGTTCTATAACAAAATTTTTAAGATAAAAAAAAAATTCACAATAATTTAATACAACTAACTCTACTTTCTTAACTGCATGTTGTATATTAAGTGTATTGCAAAATAGCATCTATTGCACTAATGTACTTTATTTAGTTGCCAACTAATTTATAATTTTTGAATTAATTTTTTAATTCAAATTTTTACTATATAAGTGTCGCCAAAAGAAAACCTGACAATTTAAATATAGTCTATATTTATTTAAATTGTCGGATTTTCTTTTAGTGATACTCATATATTATATATATAATCAAGAATATTTCAGATAATTACTATAATATACTCTATTCAGTTTTTGGAAGTACTGAGTTTAATACTATGAATCTTATACATCTTTTTTTTTGTATAATTACGAAAAATAAGGCCTTTATTTCTGATTTTCTTATTCATATTAATTAATAGAAAATATAATGATTAAATTTTTATATTCTATTATTTTTTTTTTATTTTTTTAAATAATAGTAAGCTTTAATTAATTATATCGATATATATTTTTTAAATAATAAATTCGTCACAAATCATTGTGAAATATAAGAACAATTGAGGTTAATTCATTTTTTGTAATCAAATAATACCGTAACAAAGATTTAAATAATTTTTTCAGTAATATATAAATAATTAATAATCTATTTTCTTCTTTCTTCAATAAATTAAATATTGCTTCTTTAATGACATCACTCATTCTATCATAGGTTATGATGATGACTTTACTCTTTGACGAACCAGCTGCTTCAATTGCCTCAGGCCTTATTTTATAAATATCAACTACTACCAAAAAACCCAAATCAAAATTCCCAATTCTAACCATTACCTCTACTTCGTTTACATTTCCCCTTTCTAATTATCATAACTAATTAATTAATATAATCAAAATATAAGCACGAAGAAAAAATAATAAACATACATATATAGCTATTAAAATAAGCTTTACATTGGATAACCAATGTATAGCCATTCACCTCCATAATGATATCTCGGCCTCCATCTTCAGAACGACTAATTTTTTATAAATATATAAGTTTTGTTTCATAGTTATATATAGCTTAGTAGCACGTATTTTATTCACCAGATTAATCACAGAAGAAACTTCACGTGAAATCAAACAACCAAGAAGAATGTTCTATACTGAAACATAGGCCCGATGCGCTTTCAATTCTTGGATATTTTACATTGACCTGGCAGCATAACTTTAAATACGTGACAACTCAACAAACTTGTGAGAAATACTCACTCTGTCCAAATAATCATAGCTCCCCAAGCTGCAAACCCTCTACCTAACAACTCTGTACAAAATAATTCAAACCTCGTTCCTAAAGCTTTATTAGACTCTCCTTTAACTTTTTCAAAAATTTCATATCGCATATTTTACAAGGGTTTTAAAGAAGAAAAAAAAAATGATGGTTAGAACTCTCAAAACATCCATACTTACCTTTTCAATACTATCAAATTCCTTGAAAAGATGGTTTATTCATGCGTTAAAAAGAAAAAGCAATGTGCAAAAAAATGATTAACCATTTTTTTTTAAATTTGCAACTCACATTAATCGATGACATGCCTAGGCATGAGGTGATAATGCTGCATAAAAAACATAACAAAAATATGCATTTTAAGTATACAGTATACTATACATATCATATTTCAAATTTTACTACGTATTTTTAAAAAATTTTTCAATTTTGCTGTGGACCTATAATTTTAAGGAGTTCTAAACTTAAATTGCAGAGAAAAAGAAGTGCATTAACAGGCGCCATAGAGTTATAAATTAAAGGTTGTTTAAGAGGTGTTTTGTCTAAGTAAAATTCAGATAGATCAAT